TAGGCACGCAGGGCATCCTGGGTGCAGCACTGGTACCCGAAGGTGCAGGAGGCAGTGGAGAGGGCTGAAAGGGGGAGAGGACTGAAAGGGTGGTGTGAGAAATGCATTCACCTGTCCAGATACAGAGAGTGGGCTTCGGAGGCAGGAAGGGCGGCGAAAGCAAAGGTGTTTCCTTAGCCGGGTCTAGGTGTTCATATGATGGACGGGCACATCCAGGCCAGTCACAGAAAGCAGTTTTAACTCCTAGCATGCAGGTCCCTTCCCCTTTCCCCGTGGCTGGGCACTGGGTGGGGGCCTAATTCTCCCTAGATGATGTGCAATTAAGCGGTTCCGCAGCCCCCTCCCACATGAGTTTGGATTTCTTGTCACGTTGTCTAATCTTTTCCTGGGGACTTGTGGAGAGGCAGGTTTTCCTGTTGATGATCCTGTGTGTATGACTTTGCAGTTCCAGGGCTAAGCTGTTGCTACTTATCCGTCGCTAAAAGAATATGCTACCCTTGTCATTCCTGCCTTCTGGGGAGGCTTCCTCTCTAGATTATTTCTTCACAAGGGCCCCTTTGCTTAGAGTCCTCCAAATGCATGAACTTTTTCTACTGGTAACTTTCCACTCTGGCTTAACCATTGCCTCTCTCAAATGCACCACTAATAACTTTTTCTACCTTACAGGTGGCAACTTCTGGAAGAGATTCCTGGAAGGCTGGGCCTCAAGACCTCCAGTGTCCAACACTTTGTTCTTCTCTACCTCACCACAGTGGCCAACCAGCTCCATGAATAAAACCCAAACCCTGAAATACGTAGTCAGGCAAGCAGCTAAAAGGAGCCTTGAGCAGGATCGCTGAGTAGAAAGAACCACCACATGCTTGGGCTCCTCCTGAGAGAACCACGGCTGATATCAGACATTGAACTTGGCAGGGAGGAGGACCTTGAGCATGGCGGGAGACCCCCTTCCCTGCTTGTTCCTTTCCGCAACCCCTCTAGTACTGATAGTACAGTGGGGGGCTGGGAGTCCACTCCCCCACCTACTGGAGTTTGGCAACACTTCTGGGCCAGTCCTCCTTCCACTGTTCTGAGACAGGCGGAAAATAAAATAGCAAAGGCCAAAGCAATCTCTGAGGCTCCAGGCCACAGCACAAATGCATTAAATCTCCTGGCCTGATCCTCAGTAACCTCTGCCCCTCACTAGCCTTGTGAAAGTCTTGTAAACGTAGACCGCCTCTCACGTATACACTTGAATCTGCTGTGTGAGCTGTGGGACATGCATGCTCCTGAGAGCCCCCACCTCAGGGTCACCGCACCCTGTCAAGCATTCCCGGCAATCTTTCCTAGACACCCCGTAGAGCTACCCGGTCTGGGGGCACCTCCCTTGAACTCCAATGCCTGCTTTATCTGGGCGTTCTCCACTTTCTGTCATCCTGGCCCCACTTCTCTGTCTATGCCACATTTCTGTCCGCACGGTGCTGCCCCAAGCTCACCGTCCCATGATCTTTGATAAACATAGCTGCTTTTCTTTTCCTACTGGATGTACACTTGCAAGTCTGTGCTCACTGTGCACAAGAACCTGGCATCTGTCTGTCAGATCCATCCCATGGCAGCACCCCATGCAGAACAGTGGGAAGAAGTGAGGCAACCAAGCATGCTCACTCATACGATTAGACAGCAAGTGAAGGGCGCATTTCCCTGAACAGAAGATCAGATCCTACCTTAGTTGTTGCTCCAAAACATGCAATAGGCTTATTTTCGGGGGATATCTTACTTTTTGTGTCCAAACATCTACATGAATTCATGTACAAAAATGTACATTTCTTCCATCGCAGTCATGTTATCTTCTTCTGGAACATTGTCCTAATGCTCCACACGCCAAATTCAAGCCTGAATTTCTTGCAACTCCATTTCCCGTAGAACCAAAGGCCCCAATCTCTCACGTCCAGCAATGGAGGCTTTCTGCAATGAGCACTTCCTGTCCATGTAGCCTGCTCCTAGTGCATCAGTAAATCATGGGACACATTGAATTATGAAGATTCACACCAGACACAGCCACATGCATTCCTTAACAGGTGCACGCATTATCCGGGCCTCGTTTCTACACCAGTCGGTCATTCAGCAGTAACTTTCAGGGTCATCTGTTCACACAGGCATTTACCTCTCGTCCAAAGGTGCCACTTGGGTGTTTACGGGTATTTAATTATAATGTGTGTTATCATTTGTTTTAAGTATTAATGTCAATAGCATTACTTACAGTTAATTATATAGGAATATCATTAAACTTTAATACCTTGCAAAGGATACACAATGTGTCTGTGTGACTGATGCTTCTTCTAACTGGGGCTTAGTTTTTGGGTAGAGTTTATATTAGCAGCATCCTCAAAAATCATGCTAGGGCTTATTTTCGAGTTATGTCTTATGTTTGGGGAAATACGGTAGTAGAAAAATGACTGAAGTTGGTAGGGTAGAGAAAGTTTTTTTTCTGAAAAGTTGCCCCTGGTAGAGACCTGGTGAAGTAAGCGTGAATTGTGTCACAACAGGGAGGATATTATTCCAGGAAGTAGGAGTGAAAGTGCAGGAGTTCCGGGGCAGGGAAAGTGTGAGGTGGCTTGGCTTCCTGGGCTTGTGTAGCTGGACTCCTGCTCAAAGGCTTGCTTCACTGCCCTGGCCCTGGCGCGGACTTCCTGCTCAGGAGAGCCTGACTTGCCCTGGTCGGGCTCCCTCCCTCCATGGTGAAGTTTGCTCCCATGTCCACGGAGCGGATTTTGACAGGAAACTGACTGAAAAGCATCCGCTAATGGGTGTATGATTTGGGAATATTATTCACCTGTCTAAATTCGGTTAACCCACATGTTAAAAGAGGACACCGATAGGACAGCTCGTAGCACTGACTTGACAGTAGAGTACCACGGTGACGCACTGCCTGAAAACGGTTAGAATACAACCCACCGGTGAGTGAAATGCCTTAAACGGTTACTGTCGAGAACTTCTGAGTTACAGAAACTCTAAAGAGCATAATTCTGTGTTCTCTCCCGCCTTGTCCAAGGAAGTCCACGGTCTTGTTTTCTCATCTCAGCCCCAATGAGAACATCTGATGTCCACACCGGTGCATTTCATCGCATGCACGTGTGCTGTGATTCCCAACAGCAGGTCACATCCTAGAGACAGACAGGTGGGACTGGGTTAATGTCCGAGGAGAGAAGGCTCCATGGCAGAGGGGAGTTCCTGCGACCCTGTCAGCAGCCCAGTTCCAGTCTGTGCCTGTTGGCCACAGAGACGCCACAACAGCAAGAGAGTTCCAGTGAGTTTAGTGGCTTCCACCCGGCATTACATTCTTCTACATGGAGGGAGAACTTGGCCTGCTCCATTGGTAGGGAACCAAACAGATGGCCATGTTATTTATGAAGCTTTATCTTCAACCTGTACTTTTTCAGTTTTGTTTTGAAAGGAAAAGCACATTCTCAATGGTTTTAGAGTTGTCGCTATTTTCCCCATTTTGTTCAAATTTAGAGTTGTACTCTCCCAATCAGTTACCTCATATAACACTCTGCAAAGAAATCGGTAGCCTTGAAACCCCTGTGCTCTCCTCTGTGCTCAGGCTCTGCTCTGTTCCTGTTTGTAGCAGGGCCAGATGTTTCACAGGTAAGTACAGAGTAGGCAGGAAAACACAGCATTCTTAGAATGTCCAGTGAAAGTCAGAGAATAATGCTTATGACTCACATGCAGGAAATGCATCCAAAGAAAGCTAGGTTTCATTTTCCTGCTACATAAAACAGATTAAAACTTTTCTCCTTTCAGCAGTAAAGCAAATCTGACTATCTAAATTTGGAGATTTGTGGTAAGTTTTCCTTTCACTTTAGCTTCGAAGGAAAAGCATGAGAGGATCTTATTTCATTCAGCCATTCAAGAACAGATGACTGAAACTGAATTTCTTTTTTAACACTCCATGTGTTCTTAGGGAAAAAGAGCAGGTACTTTCCTGGTGCCCTGGAAGTTTCCTTGCAATATCT